TTGAAGATTTTTTTGTGTTATGGAGAACGGTGCTTCGACAAAAAATGCACAGCAAACACGCCACTGACATCCATTCTGAGACATATCTCCCAGTGTCTCTAGCAATCGGCAATTGCCTCAGTTCAAGGATTTTAATAGTAAGACAGAAGCAATTGGTTAATGGGCACTGCAGCAGCTGCTCACTAGTTCAGCAGGTCTAGCAGGATGGTAGGGGTCGTGGGGTAGTTTTGGAGCTGGGTTGTTCCAACCCTTTCGTTCCGATGGGGTCGTGCCACCCGTGAGAGCTTCTTGGAGGGCAGTGCCATATGTTTGGCATCCATGTTTCGTACTGGCGAGATTGACTTGACAGTTTTTTTGAATTTTCCTCTGTCTGGTGGACGAGAGCGGTCTACTGCGGACGGAAAACGGGGGTTGGCGTGTCTTATTTTTCTTACAGTCTTGTCTTTGCGTTCGCTCTGGCAGTAACCTGGCGCGCTTGCCAACAGAACAGGTTTGGGTGCAAGAGGATTATCCTGTTGGTTTTTAGTTTGGGGGAAGTAATATTTGGGTTGTGTCGGGGTAGGAACTGAGGTGATTGCCTTTGGTGGTGGATTACTTAGTAGCCCCTTCGTCCCAACTAGTGGTCGTATGGTAGGCACCTTGATTGGGCCTTTGACCTCCTTTTGGGCAGTATGGGACGGTTTGATAGGTGATAGCAACCTACGATTAAGTATCCCGACTATGGGTGGTTCGTCTGTGGTTATGTCAGCGAAGCTGGCGCCGGGAATACTGGCGACAAGTGGAGTGAAGGATAGATTGCTTCCCTTTTTGGGTGAGGAGATTACTGGTACCTTCTCAATATGCAGTCGCGTGAGATTGACTGCGGTACGCATTTGAAGCTTCTCATCTATTTTTTCGCTGCCTGGTTGTTTGTCCAGTTTTCTGACATGAAGGGGAATGTCGAGCAAAAAAATGGATTTCGTCTGTGGTTATGTCAGCGAAGCTGACGTCAGGATTACTG